AACACAGGAATCGTTTATAAAAATTCTTTGACGTTTCCATTAAAAGTTGACAGTTGGACCAGATCAGGAAATAACCAAATTTGCCATAACACACAACAAAATGAAAGCGCATTAGGGGAGAGTATTATTAGGCTAGACAGTAACAGGAAGGAAGTTTCTTAGTTTTCCTCTACGTGAAACACATTCTACTGGACTGGAATAATATAGATTGGTTTACCTTGAAAATGTACGTTCACATTTACCTAGATTACTTGGGGAAGCGAATGACAGAGCGTGTTCCTCCACGAGGACCCATCACCTAATATATCAAGTCTTCATACACTATAAATATGATTTCCTTTGTAAACCTTGTGGTTTGTGTAGTTAGCAGTAGCAGTCTTGAGGCAAATCATGGAGATCAATTTGCACATTTTAATTCTGTATCACAGACGAAGTTTACCAGTTTGAAGGTCTTGTAGCTCAGAATTGGTGAAGGGTGCAAAAGTGTTTCCACTCCTAATGAATAATGGATCTTTCACCAATTTTAAATCAAAGGCCTAGAATAGAGCAGGTAAAATAATGGTCAGTTTTCCTTAGGACACAATTGTAAGCTTTAACGAGTTATACCATCACCCTCCAGAATTTGTAATACCAACCTCCTTTTGCAAAACATACTTCTTGACCTTGAAGGTACCAGTCATTTCCAACGCAGCTACTTTCCTAATGAATATAGGTCTAGCATAAGCAGGTAACATTTTGTCAATGCCATTTGCTAAAACCTCCAAATTCAAGGTATTTTCCGGATCTACAATTGCTGCCATTCCTGCACGACCTTCGGCTCCAGGTATCTGCATTAAATGCAATATTATCTAATGAGTAAATCTAAAAACCAGTATTTGTAAGGTGTATTTCTATTCAAACAAACCTCCACTCCGTACACTGTGACATCTCTCAGTCCTAGGATGGCGCACACTGATGCTTCCACTTCAGCAGATGCCACATTTTCTCCCTTCCACCTGATTGTTAGAAAGGAAAGAAAAGGTCAACACCGCATGATGTTAATTTACGGAAAGTATAATAACAATCCAAATGCCCAAATAGTATTACCTGAAGCTTTCTCCAGTTCTGTCTTTGAAGTAAAGATATCCAAGTTCATCCATGACCAAAATGTCACCTAGCAGAGGGGGAAAATGATTTCTTACTCTGTATACATACATGTTAAAAGTTAAATTTTATGTAGATATAAACCAGAAATAGAACCTCACCTGTCAAGAAATATTTATCACCCTTCACAAATACGTCCTCAATCACCTTTTTCTTCGAAGCTTCCTTGTCCACGTAGCCATGGAATTCCCTTGTCGGATCCCTATTGCTGATGAGTCCAATGAACATACCGGGTTCGTCTGCAATCCAAAATTAGAAAATTATTTCAAAGGTAAGGTTGACCTATGTCGCACAAACTGATGAGGTAGTAGCCCACATGGAGAGGTGGGGGTGGGGGTGCCTTCAGTACTTTCAAAACCAACACAGCCTGTTTGAGAGATGCCATAGTATTTTAAGTCCGTGATTCAATTATTATGGCCCTTCAACCTTATGATACTTCTGACATGAGCTTATAGAAGGGGTCGTGAGAAAAGCAATCCCCCCCCCCTTCCCCCCTCTAAAAGCTGCCAACGCGCCACCCACCAACGCCACAGCGTTCGCAGAGGCCGCTCGCGTTCCGGATGATCTCGCCCGTCTCCAGGTTGGTCTTGATGATGGCGACCGGGTAGATGGCCTGCGGGAGCGACTGCGGCAGGAAGCCCACGGCGCCGATCGTGTTGTCCAGGTTCACTGCAGGTCACGATAAGAAGAAAAAACAAAACGCAACAGTCAAAAACCGCCGATACACATAAAATAAACCATATAGCGAGACGACGGCGCAAGTACCTATGTTGGCGTTGCCCTCGGTCGCGCCGTACAGCTCCACCACGTTGGGTATGTTGAAGCGGTCCACGAACGCCTTCCAGATGGTGGGCCGCATGCCGTTGCCGAGCATGAGCCGCAGCCGGTGCTGGCGGTCCTCGGGGCGCGGCGGCACGGCCAGGATGTAGCGGCACATCTCGCCGATGTACTGCGCCACCTGCACAGCGTCCGAGTCGTACACACAAACTTCCACAAGTAGAGTTGGAAGTTTCGAAAAATTTTAGGAAAATTTCCGAAAAATTCCCTTAAATTTCCGGAACAAAAACGAAAAATTTCCGAAGTCTGGGATTTTTTCCCGGAAATTTTCCGGAAACTTTCCAGGCCTTTCAACCCTATGCACAAAAGTATTAAACAGGGACTCCGGACGGTCGCTCACCGTGCAGCCGTACTTGGCGCACTCCGCGAAGTACGCGGACGCCGAGAACTTGGACCTGATGACGACCGTGATGCCGGCGACGAGGGCGCAGCCGACGCCAACGTTGCCGCCGGTCGTGTGGTAGAGCGGCAGCGGGTTGTAGATGACGTCCGACTGGGTGAGCCGCAGCGACTTGAGCGCGGCGAGGGTGGCGAACAGGTACCTGGGGGCGGTGAAGAACAAGATGAGCCACTCGTAGCGATTTTGATTTTACAAAATTAACATTCTGTATAATTTTTTTCCAAATTTTTGTTTAAATTCCTCAAAAAGTCTTATTTTTTCAAAAAATTTCTGCAAATGTTTAATTTTTTTCCGATTTTTTTCTGAAAAAGTTTTTATACTTTTCCGGAATAATTTTGGTCTTTCAAATCCCCAGCCACCCGAGCTCAAGTACGATGACGTCATACGGACAGAAATCAGACCAAACAGACTTGGAAATGACATCCTGGCTGCCTACCTCGAGTGCGGCAGGATGGCGGCCTTCGGGAGGCCGGTGGTGCCCGACGTGTAGATGTACAGGAGCATGTCCCTGTAGCCCGGGGGCGCACAGGCGGGCGGGGTCGGCGCCGCCTTGTCCAGCAGCGCCTGCAGGTCCTCCACCGGGCCCCGGCCCTCGGCGCCGGCCACGTCGCCCGGGCCCACGCCGCCCAGCTGGAAGAGGCGCAGCGGCTTGGAGTAGCTGTCGCGGACCTCCAGGATCGCTGTGACAGAGACAGAATAAGCAATAAGCTCCAACAGGACACCAGGGGATCGGGGATCACACGACAAATCACAAATCACCCACGGCGCACGGGTCTACCCGGCATGGGGGGAATGCAGCGGCGGCGGACGGGTCGCCTACCAAGCACGGCGCTATAGCGCAGCGGGGCCACTGTCAGAGGGCAGCCACCGTCGGCCGCAAGATCGACTCCCAGTCGACGCGAACAATTTTTTTATTCGGCCCTTCTAGGCTATTGTATAGTAGGATCAAGTCGCACACCCCTATGTAAAATGATCAGCTGGCAGCCGAGCGTGCTATGGCGTGGACACTCCGGTGGAGTTGGCTGCGAGATCGACCCCCGGTCGGTGCAATTTTTTTTTCGTCGTTTCTTGCCGCCCGTAAAGCAGGACCGAGTTCCGAGCTCCGCTGAGGACGAAGCAGTTGGCAGCCGAGCGCATTAAGGCGTCATCCGCCACAAACGGACGGGCAGGAGTTCGACTCCCGGCCGAGGCTGTTGGCTTTCTTTTATCGCTTCGTGTGGGCAGAGCTCCCGCTCGGGACGAGGATGGTTGCCGGGATCGAATACCGG